TGTTTGCCAAGATTGAGAATTTTCAGCTAGATGATCTAGAAATTCTAATGCTTCATCTGGATCTTTATCTAAAAATTCACCATTGCACATCGTTTCTACAAATTGTTTTGTTTCAGGAGTTAAGCCATCATAAAAGAAAATTATAGTATGTCATTTTTCAAAACCATGATGTGGGCATGTATTTAACAAATCTTTAAATCTTTCTAAACATTGAAAGTACGCTTCATTGGTTTTTTGAGAAAAATTTTGGATTTATCTTTTCAAAGCATTAGTTTTATGTGCTGGAAATAATTTCTTCAAAAACTCACTTTGCATTTCTTGCCACGTGCCAATCGACCTAGGTTTTAAAGAGTTAATCCAAGTTTTTGCTTTATCTTTTAGAGAAAAAGGAAACAATTTCAACTTAACAATTTCATTGGGACAAGTTTGATCGTTAAATGTGGCACATACTTCCTCAAATTCTTTAAGATGCAAATATGGACTTTCGGATTCTAAGCCATGAAAATTAGGAAGTAATGGAATCATACCCGGCTTGAATCGAAAATTATTAGCATTAAGAGGGAAAATGAAACATGAAGGAGTAGAATTTCGAGGAGGTTGCAAGTAATCACGCATGGTTCGTGCTTGTTGGTTTTCATTTTCATCATGTACGCTTTCATTATCATCCATGGTGGAAGATGTGAGTGAATGTTGAGGTGAGTCAAATAAATTACTAAAGAAAGCTTCACAATTATCTTTAACTAAACAATGAGAATTAAATTCACGATACCAATATGACATAAAATAACATAAAATAGATGTAAAGAACGAAAATTAAGTGGCATGACTAACCATAAAATAGTTGTAAAGAACGAAAGTTAGGTGGCACAACCAACCATATAATAAAGAAACGGCAGATCGGGAGGCTCGACCTTCCCTTTAAAGAAAGAAAATAAAAAGAAAATAAAAAACGAAGGAGGCTCGGCCTTCCTTTAAAGTAAAATAAATAAAGTAATATTGAAAAAGGAACGATTGTACCTGATTTATGAAGATTATGAAAGAGAAGAAAACCTCACAGAAAGTAGCAGAAAATAATCCTTGACGCAAATCCCTGACAACGGCACCAAAAACTTGCTACAACTTTAAGGTTGCAAACCCAAGTGCAGGTTGTCGCGAGTGGTAAACTCGGAAGTCCGAGGTCGAACCACAGGAAACTGGAAGGAAATAAACTAATCTATGAGTAGTGAATAAAGGTAGTAATCTCATATGGAAGATAAAACATTAATCACAAGTATATTAAAAGATAAATCTTGACAATTGTTTGAGAGAATATGTCAAAATAAGTTGTTGGAATGTAGAGATTATCTAAGCATTTATCGTGCCAAAATTGTCAACAATAAATCAAAGTCTTTAACCATTTGTAGAACATATACTTCAACCAAGTAAGAAGATGAACATTAAAGAACAAAATGAAAGATCAAAGACAATACTATGAATTCACCAAAGTTTCACCCCTAGCTCTAGCTAATGGTTTAGAAATACATAATGAAATGTTACAAAGAAAATGAAGAAAACTAGAATATGATGGAGAGGAATTGATGCCCTCAAAATCGTGGCCAAGGTCCCCTTTTATAGGCAAAGGAACATCCAAAATGCAAGTAGGCAATGCAACTTGTTTCAGTCCAGCTTCAAGATAGCTGGAACATGCAACTTGATGCCAGTTTTTAGATACATTATGCAGAGAATTTGGACTTATGATCGACAAATAAATTATTTCCAATTGAATTAGCTTTCCATTGGTTCAAATATCAGGTTCATTGGATCTATATAACTCCAGATATGACAAAAAAAATGAGTACTGCTTCACAGGTAGAAAAGCTGTATCCGGCAGGTAACAAGCTGGACTTTGTACGATAATTTTGGCTGCCTTGTGATACGAATTTGATTTCTTGAAAAACATGAAAGTTGTAGGAATATGCCTTATATTTACAACCCAACTTGAATAACCTCATTTCAATGTCTGAAAATCAAGTTATGATCATTTTACCGACAGCTGCTTCTTACTTGAGACAGTCACTATTCTTGCCTTTTCAACATTATTTTCCTCCACTTGCTCCACTTGTTCTAAATTGGAAATACATGTGAAATACATCAAATAGATACTCTTTCAAATGTATAATACTCATGTTGACATGTATGTAAATACGTATTTCAATTAATTGCATTTTAACCATGTATTTATGGAAATTGAGTTTATGACAAGAGAATTGAAATTAGAGACTAACATTAGTGTTTTTAAACAAAGTGAATGTAAAATGCCTTGTAAATGATATATCTTTGAAGCACTTTTAGACACTAATCACACTCCCCAGCCAAGATATTGCTAGTCTTTAGCAATAAAAATTCAAAAATAGTTCAAATGAAATAGCTTGTCCTATTTGCCTTAGGATTTGAAATTGCTTATCAAGATTCTTCTAAGGTTTTCTACCAAAATATAGTGTAACTTGTCCAATGCTCGACCAACGTGTGTGTGTGCATAATCAATTCAATCACATACCTTTTTCAAATTGGACTCATCCCGACTCTCAATGGTTAACTATTTCTCTCTTCTCTCGTTGGATGTACTCCCCCAAACTTTATTTTGTAACTATTTTCCCAAGGTGTGATTTATGGTTAAATTTATATAATATTACTCACCCTCTCTAGTTTGGTTAGATTTCACAAATTGTAGCTCAACATATCAATAAATGAGGATTCTCCTTAATTTTAACTGATACAACCTCCAAGAATCAACTAAGCTACTAATCCCTTATCAAAGGTCTAATTCTCTAAAATAAGTGTTTAGGACTTAATCAAAGCATGTAGTGCATCTTCTGTTTCATGCACCTGCTTTTTTCAAGTTTGCCGTGCGTATTCTGTTTCATGCACTAGCCTCTCTCTTTTTATGTATATAATTGTCCTCATTGGGCTCTTTTAGGGTAGCTTCACAACATGACAGCTTTTTCCCTTATATGCAATGATTAGTGCAATGCCCCTCATTAAACACTTATCCTCGAAAATCGATCTTTAACTTAAAATTTTCACCTAATTATCATCTCATTGGTCTTAAGCAATCCACACAAAATTTAACACACATGGAATCCACATCTATCTCAATGTCTCCCTACAACAGCTCAACCACCCCAAACTATCCTAGAATTGGTTTAGTAGGATTTTTTTGTTGGTCATAGTTAATTCTACATATTCTATCCATTGATCCAATCTAAATAATATGTGATTTTCATGATTATTGTGCTCAATGTAGATCAATCTAACATGAACAAGTTTAAACTAAATCAAAACAGCACCCCCTAGTCACAATAATATAAAAACAATTTAAAATATTATCATCGGTCGGTAAGAACTTTTTTTTTTTTGAACATTTTGATTCCTTTCCCCCAACCTAAATGAAACATTGTCCTCAATGTAAAGATTAAATGTGCAAAATATATGAAGGACTGTAGGGAACAAAATTTTGAACAAAGGAACGGGTTTTGAGCTTTACCTAGAAAGTCTGCATAAACTTGGCCTAAATGAACCTTCAATTTCATTAGTGAAAAAAAAAGACAATAAAAGAAATACACCTAAAACAAACACACATCATTATAAAATTGAAAACAAACATAACAAAATAAAATAATGAGAAAATGATATCAATCTTTAGAATCATGTAAAGCAACGGACTCTTCCAATCTAGAGAAATTCTCAAAAAATGGTTTCAAATCGAGCTTTGGCTCTTGAATACTTGAAATCATGTGTGAATTTTTAGAATTATCGTTGAATTCAAATTCTAGCGCATCAAATGAAGATGTAGCGATAAACTGATCATCAACAAGTTGTTCAATAAGATCTACTTCATGCAAATCATCTGTATCTCCATGTTGCTTGCAAATGTTAAAAATATTTGTTTCCACGGTCATATTTTCAAAAGAGAGTTCAAGATACCATTTCTACAATTTATCAACGCATTTGAAGTTGCAAGAAAGGGATGACCTAAAATGACAGGTATTTGTGCATTTGAATTTAAATCAGGATGTGTGTCCAAAACTATAAAATCAATAGGATAATAGAATTTATCAATTTGAACTAGAACATCCTCTACAATCCCTCTTGGAACTTTTACTGAACGATCAGCAAGTTGAAGTGTTGTTGTTGTTGGTTTAAGCTCTCCTAAACCAAGTTGTTCATACACAGAAAAATGTAATAGATTAACACTAGCACCAAGATCAAGCAAAGCACGTTCTATCCTATTATTTCCAATCACATAAGAAATTGTTGGACAACTAGGATCTTTGAATTTAGGTGGAGTGTTTTGTAGAATGACTGAGCTCACATTCTCTGTAAAAAATGATTTCTGTTGAACATTAAGTTTCCTCTTGACAGTGCACAAGTCTTTTAAAAATTTTGCATATGAAGGAACTTGATTGATTGCATCTAATAATGGTATGTTAATTTTGACTTGTTTGAAAAGTTCAAAAATTTCAGAATTATGGTTGAGTTTTGAAATTGGTTGCAATCGTTGAGGAAATGGAGCTGGAATGGGACATTTTTCAACAATAGGTTCAGAAATAATTTTTTTCTCACTTTTGGAAACGTCATTTTCTTGCTTTGAAGTCCCACCCGATTTTAGTTCTTTTGAAGGGATGGTTTTGTCAATAATTTTTCCACTACGAAGAGTCGTGATGGAGTTGGCATTTTCTTGTTGACTTTCAGAGGAACTTGAAGCATTTACATTAAATTGCCCAAAAGGGTTTGGTTGAGGTTGAGCAGGAAACTTGCCTTTCTCTTGAGAATGTAAAGAAGAGGTCAATGAAGAAAGTGTGTTCTTGTTTTCATTGATGGCTTGTGAAGTTTGATTACTAATATTTACTTGTCCTTGCATAAAAGATTGCAATGTTTCCTCAAGAGTCTTTGATTGTGGTGGTGAAAAGAAGGGAATTTTGAAACCCCTTGAGGTTGTGATATATGAACAAGATTATCATCTCTCCAACTAAAGTTGGGATGATTTCTCCATTGTTGATTATATGTTTCTGAGAATGGAGAAGGAAAAGGCTTTTTGAAAGTGTTTATAGCATTGGCTTGATCATGTAAAACTTCTTTAAAAACTGGAATGTTAGGACAATCATGCGTAAGATGACCAAAAGTTTCACAAATGCTACAAATTTCATCATTTTGCACGGGTTTAACTTCCTTTACTTTCCTTAATTCCATAGCTTCAACCTTTCTAGACAAACTAGCAATTCTAGCATTTAGATCCTCATCTTGACTCAATTGATATTTTCCTCCACTAGAACTAGCAAGACTAGATCTGATTGAGTTTTCGATTAGTTTTACTGTTTGCCAAGATTGAGAATTTTCAGCTAGATGATCTAGAAATTCTAAAGCTTCATCTGGATCTTTATCTAAAAATTCACCATTGCACATCGTTTCTACAAATTATTTTATTTCAGGAGTTAGGCCCTCATAAAAGAAACTTATAGTACGCCAATTTTCAGAACCATGATGTGGGCATGTATTTAACAAATCTTTAAATCTTTATAAACATTGAAAGTATGCTTCATTGGTTTTTTGAGAGAAATTTTGGATTTGTCTTTTCAAAGCATTAGTTCTTTGTGCTGGAAAGAATTTCTTCAAAAACTCACTTTGCATTTCTTGCCACGTGCCAATCGACCTAGGTTTTAAAGAGTTAATCCAAGTTTTTGCTTTATCTTTTAGAGAAAAAGGAAACAATTTCAACTTAACAATTTCATTGGGACAAGTTTGATCGTTAAATGTGGCACATACTTCCTCAAATTCTTTAAGATGCAAATATGGACTTTCGGATTCTAAGCCATGAAAATTAGGAAGTAATGGAATCATACCCGGCTTGAATCGAAAATTATTAGCATTAAGAGGGAAAATGAAACATGAAGGAGTAGAATTTCGAGGAGGTTGCAAGTAATCACGCATGGTTCGTGCTTGTTGGTTTTCATTTTCATCATGTACGCTTTCATTATCATCCATGGTGGAAGATGTGAGTGAATGTTGAGGTGAGTCAAATAAATTACTAAAGAAAGCTTCACAATTATCTTTAACTAAACAATGAGAATTAAATTCACGATACCAATATGACATAAAATAACATAAAATAGATGTAAAGAACGAAAATTAAGTGGCATGACTAACCATAAAATAGTTGTAAAGAACGAAAGTTAGGTGGCACAACCAACCATATAATAAAGAAACGGCAGATCGGGAGGCTCGACCTTCCCTTTAAAGAAAGAAAATAAAAAGAAAATAAAAAACGAAGGAGGCTCGGCCTTCCTTTAAAGTAAAATAAATAAAGTAATATTGAAAAAGGAACGATTGTACCTGATTTATGAAGATTATGAAAGAGAAGAAAACCTCACAGAAAGTAGCAGAAAATAATCCTTGACACAAATCCCCGGCAACGGCGCCAAAAACTTGCTACAACTTTAAGGTTGCAAACCCAAGTGCAGGTTGTCACAAGTAGTAAACAAAATAAGTTGTTGGAATGTAGAGATTATCTAAGCATTTATCGTGCCAAAATTGTCAACAATAAATCAAAGTCTTTAACCATTTGTAGAACATATACTTCAACCAAGTAAGAAGATGAACATTAAAGAACAAAATGAAAGATCAAAGACAATACTATGAATTCACCAAAGTTTCACCCCTAGCTCTAGCTAATGGTTTAGAAATACATAATGAAATGTTACAAAGAAAATGAAGAAAACTAGAATATGATGGAGAGGAATTGATGCCCTCAAAATCGTGGCCAAGGTCCCCTTTTATAGGCAAAGGAACATCCAAAATGCAAGTAGGCAATGCAACTTGTTTCAGTCCAGCTTCAAGATAGCTGGAACATGCAACTTGATGCCAGTTTTTAGATACATTATGCAGAGAATTTGGACTTATGATCAACAAATAAATTATTTCCAATTGAATTAGCTTTCCATTGGTTCAAATATCAGGTTCATTGGATCTATATAACTCTAGATATGACAAAAACAATGATTACTACTCTACAGGTAGAAAAGCTGTATCCAGCAGGTAACAAGCTGAACTTTGCATGGTAATTTTGGCTACCTTGTGATATGAATTTGACTTCTTACAAAACATGAAAGTTGTAGAAACATGCCTTATATTTCCAACCCAAATTGAATAACCTTGGTTCAATAACTGAAGCTCAAGTTATGATCATTTTACCGACAGCTGCTTTTTGCTTGAGACAGTCACTATTATTGACTTTTCAACATTATTTTCCTCCACTTGCTCCACTTGTTCTAAATTGGAAATACATGTGAAATATATCAAATAGATACTCTTTCAAATGTATAATACTCATGTCGACATTTATGTAAATATGTATTTCAATTAATTGTATTTTTAACCATGTATTTATGGAAATTGAGATTACGGCAAGAGAATTGAAATTAGAGACTAACATTAGTGTTTTTAAACAAAGTGAATGTAAAATGCCTTGTAAATGATATATCTTTGAAGCACTTTTAGACACTAATCAAAATGCGCCAATCAATCAAACCCAAGTGAAATTTTAGTTAAATTTGATTGGAAGCGCCCAATCAACAAAATCCAGATGAAATTTTATTCAAATTTGAATAGAAACGTGCCAATGAAAAAAATCCAGATGAAATTTTTTGTCAGATTTGATTGGAAATGCGCCAATGAACAAAACCTAGGTGAAATTTTAGTCGGTTTGATTGGAAACATGCCAGTGAACAAAATGCAGGTGAAATTTTAGTCAAATTTGATTGGAAACGCGCCAATGAATCAAACTCAAGTGAAATTAAGGTCAAATTTGATTGGAAACGCACCAATAAACAAAATTTAGATGAAATTTTACTCAAATTTCATTGAAACGCGCCATTTAACAAAACTCAGATGAAATTGTTGTCATATTTGATTTGAAGTGTGACAATGATCAAAATCAAGATGAAATTTTAGCCAAATTCGATTAGAAACGAGCCAATGAATCAAACTCAAGTGAAATTTTAGTCAAATTTGATTGGAAGCGCACTAAATAACAAAATCCAGACGAAATTTAAGTCAAATTTGATTGGAAACTCGCCAATGAACCAAACTCAAATTTTAGTCAAATTTGATTGGAAAGACGGTAATGAACAAAACCCAGGTGAAATTTTAGTCAAATTTGATTGGAAACAGGCCAATGAACAAAATTCAGATGAAATTTTAGTCAAATTTGATTGGAAATGCGCCAATGAATCAAATTCAAGTGAAATTTTAGTCAATTTTGATTGAAAGCGCACCAATGACCAAAATTGAGACGAAATTTTTGCTAAATTTGATTGGAAACGCGCTAATGAACCAAACTCGAGTAAAATTTTAGTCAAATTTTATTGGAAACACTCCAATGAAGAAAATCCAAATGAAATTTAACTCAAATTTCATTGAAAACGTGCCATTTAACAAAACTCAGATGAAATTGTAGTCATATTTGATTTGATGCGTGACAATAATCAAAATCCAGATGAAATTTTAGTTAAATCTAATTGGAAACGAGCCAATGAACCAAACTCAAGTGAAATTTTAGTCAAATTTGATTGGAAACACACCAATGAACAAAATCCAGGTGAAATTGTAGTAAAATTTGATTGGAAACGCGCTAATGAATCAAACTCAAGTGAAATTTTAGTCAAATTTGATTGGAAGAGCTCGAATAAACAAAATTCAGATGAAATTTTAGTCAAATTTGATTGGAAACGAGCCAATGAACCAAACTCAAGTGAAATTTTAGTCAAATTTGATTGGAAACACACCAATGAACAAAATCCAGGTGAAATTGTAGTAAAATTTGATTGAAAACGTGCTAATGAATCAAACTCAAGTGAAATTTTAGTCAAATTTGATTGGAAGAGCACGAATAAACAAAATTCAGATGAAATTTTAGTCAAATTTGATTGGAAATGCGCCAATGAATCAAACTCAAGTGAAATTTTAGTCAAATTTGATTGGAAGAGCACGAATAAACAAAATTCAGATGAAATTTTAGTCAAATTTGATTGGAAATGCGCCAATGAATCAAACTCAAGTGAAATTTTAGTCAAATTTGATTGGAAACACGCGAACGAACAAAACCCAGGTGAAACTTTAGTCAAATTTTATTGGAAACACGCCAATGAACAAAATCCAGGTGAAATTGTAGTCAAATTTGATTGAAAACGTGCCAATGAACCAAACTTGAGTGAAATTTTAGTCAAATGTTATTGGGAACACGGCAATGAAACAAACTAAAGTGAAATTTTCGTCAAAGTTGATTGGTAACATGCCAATAAACGAAACTCGGGTGAAATTGCAGTTAAAATTGATTGTAAACACGCTAATGAATCAAAGTCAAGGGAAATTTGAGCCAAATTTGATTGGAAGCGCACCAATGAACAAAATTCAGACGAAATTTTAGTCAAATCTGATTGAAAATACGCCAATGAACATAACTCAGGTGAGATTTTACTCAAATTTGATTGAAAACGTGTCATTTAACAAAACTCAGATGAAATTGCAGTCATATTTGATTTGAAGTGCGGCAATGAACAAAATTTAGATGAAATTTTAGTCAAATTTGATTGGAAATGCGCCAATGAACCAAACTCAATTGAAATTTTGGTCATATTTGATTGGAAACACGCCAATGAACAAAATCCAAGTCAGATTTTAGTCAATTTTGATTGAAAACGTGCCAATGAATCAAACTCAAGTGAAATTTTAGTAAAATTTGATTGGAAGCGCACCAATGAACAAAATCCAGACGAAATTTTAGTCAAATTTGATTGGAAACGTGCCAAACAACAAAATTTAAGTGAAAATTTTGTCAAATTTTACTGCAAACATGACAACAATCTAAATGTAAGTGAAATTTTAGTCGAATTTGATTGGAAGAGAACCAATGATCAAAATCCAGATGAAATTTTACTCAAATTTTGATTGGAAACGTGCAATTTAACAAAACTCAGATGAAATTGTAGTCATATTTGATTTGAAGCACGACAATTAACAAAGTCGAGACGAAATTTTAGTTAAATTTGATTTAAAACGCGCCAATGAACCAAATTGAAGTGAAATTTTAGTCAAATTTGATGGGAAACATGCCAATGAACAAAACTCGGGTGAAGTTTTACTCAAATTTGATTGAAAATACGCCATTTAACAAAATTCATATGAAATTGCAGTCATATTTGATTAGAAGCGCGTCGATGAACAAAATTCAGAAGAAATATTTTTAAAATTTGATTAGAAATACGTCAATTAACCATATTAAAGTGAAATTTTAGTCAAATTTGATTGGAAACATGCCAATGAACAAAACTCAAGTGAAATTTTACTTAAATTTGATTGAAAATGTGCCATTTAACAAAACTCAGATGAAATTATAGTCATATTTGATT